TTTATTATCATATTATGATTTCAAATGGTTTAACAAAAATTTTATTTTTATAGGTTTTATTGTGGGTCACTCTAGTAACCCTAATGTGACACATCAGATCAGTTCAAGTCACTCGTATCGGTCTTGGGGTGTTACATGCTTTAGAGTGCATCGGGAAGGTATTCAAGAACCTTTACATCATAATTATTTAAGATTCAGATATAATAAGTGTGATTCCATCATTCAGGCTGAAACACTTCAAAGATATTCTCTTCTTAATATTGAATGCATTAATTGAACGGATCTCTTTTATAATCAATATTGAACAATTCTTCAGAAGATGAACATGTATTTTGGTGGTGTTTAATTTATTTCTTTATTGTAATAGTATCCTAAATAATCGATGTGCCTAGGTCGTGCTCCAAACCTTAAGAGACAATACAACACTTAGGTTTATTGGTATTTCCAAGGTTTATCTAATGTCATCCATTTATTTCTATGTTATGATGGTATTTTTTTCATTTCAATACTCTAGGTTACTTTGGTCAATTTGGAGTTCAAGGTATTTCAGTCCCTTTTAGGGTTTAAGGGTTTTTTGGTCATTTTAAACCTCAAGGATATTTTGGTTATTTTATTCAATTCAGTCGTATGCATCATTTCTAGTATTTTAGTCATCAAGTGTTTATTCCATAATCATAAATTCTACGTCCTTTCTCATCTCATTGTAAAACAATTATTAGGATTTTCTAAATAGATCGGGGATTTAATAGGTGAATCAATAGTTCATCATATCAAAAATGGCTTTTTCAAGGATATTTAAACTTTTAGGACCATTATAAGTCATTTTAATCTCACTAAGCTAACTTTGTAATTTCTAATCCTTATATTTCCAGTATTAGAAACTATTTAACGAGTAATATCATAATCTAAGAATTACAGGATAAATGCTTTATCTTATAACCAATGAACTTGAATTATTTCTTATCAATCTTCTATTCCAATTATGCGAGTTATCCAAGTCTTTTTCAAATAGATCAAGAACAAAAACATATAATTTAGAGTTTCTATTAGTTCTAGCATAAATTTCCATTTCATTTACATTATGAGAGGTAAATCATGTCTTATTTGTATCATAAGGATATTTTTTCATTTTCCTATTCAACTTTTTTTACCTTAAAACTTTTAAAGGTGATATTGAGAATTTAAATGTCCTATGGTTAATTTTTTACCGATTAATCACTAATCTTAAATTTATTTCTTGTCGGTCTTTCCGTTTTCTTGAACAATTCAAATGAGTCTTAACCAATTTATGACTTTTTACCCATTCATGTTGAGCCCATCCGTAATCGAAGATGCATAAATTACCAGTCATATTCATCAATGCATTATCAAATACCAACATGTTTAATAAAGCTTTAAAAAATGTAGTAGAGTGTAACCTTGATTTTTGAGCCATATTGGTCTATATTTTGACTCCATTTGAAAGCCGTTGAACTTGAATTCAACATCTAATAATATCTCATATATATGGGAAAATGAATTATATCAGAAACGGGCCTTAACTGTGAAAATTAGATCGAATTAGAAAATAAAATGTTGAAAATAGCTTACCGAGTTTAAAAAATAGACTTAAATGTTAAAAACATTAGGATAGGTGGTTCTGAAAGAAGTAAACGTCCGGTCAACTGTCAATGATAGCTTGGCTCGGCTCTAAGCGACTCGACTCAACTTCAAACGACTCTGTTTGGCTCCAAATGGCTCATCTCGATCTGAATAGTTAGCTAACTTCCTAACTTACAGATAATGCCCACGCATTGGGGCAACGCGTGCGATAGCTTCGGTGGTTAGACGAGGACCTAAAACTCCAGGTCTGTAGATCATCGGCTCGCGATTCTTGTGTATGACTTGTTTTATAATGAAAAGCACCAGAGAACAACGAAAATCAATTCCTTCAAATGGTCAAGTATAGAAAACACCACGTTTCTCCACAACGTTGATGATAATAACATCGTAGGTACCCAACAACGCGGAACCGGAGAGGAAAATGATGATTATAACAATGTCGCTCCCCAGTGGTTGGAAGGCACTGGATCGACAAAAAATCGATAGTGATGGCTTTGAACTCAGAAAAACTTTCGAGGGCTCTCAACGATGAACGACATCGGTTTTTGGTGAAGGGGAACTTAGGTTTTGGCCGCAATGAAATGACAAGAATGATGGCGGGGGAGGTGCATAACACCACTAACCGAAGGCGGGTTTAATCGATGATGGGGTTGCGGATAGGTTTTAAAATAGTTAGGGTTTTTTTTTGTTCTATTCGAATGAGGAGTTTTATTTTGGGGTTTAAAAATTGGGCTTGAAACTATTTAAGAGATACTTTTTTTAAAAAATAAACTCAAATAGTAGCTAGCTTTGATGGTAAAAATATGTTAGGCCATACACTATGCCTCTGTTTCAAATTTGTATAACAACACTTTTTCTTTTTTTCTTAGCTGATAGAAGAGGTCCAAATCGCAGTTTAGGTCCTTAAACTTTTAAGAATTTTTAAAATAATCCTAAAATCTTCGAGGTCTGACAATTTGGTCCCTAAAATATATTAATTAAACTTTTAAAATTAAGCATAAAAAATTGGGTGTAACATGAAACGCGTATAGGTCTCCTACCCTTTAGTGTTAAATGACCAGTATAGAACAACTTAATAGACTTACAGAAGTATCAGGCTAATAAACCTTTGTGTAACGTTCTAGATGAGAGAACGAGTGATATATGAGCTAGTGAGGTGTTTATCTCACTCTAGTGTATGGAGCTACACTAGTGTGTAGTTAGGCTACCTTAGTTACATTGTCACTATTGTGTGGCCTTTGGGGCCTCAGATATGCATGTTAAGTTGCATCAATCCAATATAGCATAATCTTTAAAGCTTGGCTTGACGACTGTGTCAGAAATCAATGCTTTAATTGAGTGAGAATTGTACCGATTGTTATGTAATGACTAGGTTCCTCCTCCATGGTGTATCTGATTGCTATGTGAGACCATATAATAGTAGTATGCTATTTTCAGATAATGCACAACAGTGTCAGTGTCGCATTCAGATAATGCAAAACAATGTCAATATTGCATTCATATAATACACGAAAGTGTCAAGGTCGTATTCAGATAATCCATAGCAATTATATTCATTGTAGTTAGAGAACCATTAAAGGTGTACTCATGGAAAGGCTCCTGGCAGAGGATTAAGGGAAGCATGAGACTTATTCTTCAACGATAGAATAGTTAAATCTTGAGTAGGTAGCACTTGATTAAGATCATGCATGTACCTACTGCTTAGTAACATGTCTTTGGCATGCTTGTGTTTATAAAACTCATAATGTTACTTTAGATTAGCAATTATATTGTTGGGGTTTATAAGCAGATTATTAACTTGAGCTGTTTGAGGAGCACTGTTGTAGCTTTAGTGGGCATGTCTATTCATAGGACCCTTATTATTGATTTAGATTTTATAACCTTGAGTTGTATTATTTTGATTTTAAATTGTGTCATTGAGATCCGATCTATAAAAGTGTTTTATAATTGTTATGTATGTATCATTTGGTACCATTCAGGGTGTTTTGAAATGAAAATGGACAGTTTTTGAAATCATCGGTTGCCTCGGTAGTTCAATGTGGCACTTTAGGCCCAACCAAATTTAATAAATTTATATAATTATCTATTGTAATTTAAAATAAAATGTTAAATTAATAAATTATTATTTAATTTATTTAGATATTAGTTTAATATTTTTTATAATTAGTCAACAAAATCTATAATGAATATTAAATTAAAACTTTATTATTAAAATTAATAAAATTTGAAAATTTAAAATAGAAAACTAAATAATTTTTACATAAGAAAAATTTTAGAGTGAACGTCGCACATCAAAATACACCATTAATGTGACACATCGGGACACACTACAAAATAATTTTTTTTATTCAAAAATATTAAAAAAAAGTTAAAGATCTCTCTGTGAGTAATCCAAAATAAAAGGTTAATTTTAACTCTAATACAATTATACTTAAAATGTTTATTTTTTTTTAAATCATAATCCATATGGGATTTTAATTTTTCTTTTAAACTAAATTAAACTAGAATGATTTTAGAGAGATGTAATTTTTTTTATCTCTACAATTTTTGGGGTTTATGTTACAGAGATAATTTTGTAGAAATATTGGAAGAGTGTTTTGGGATATGTAAGGTTTTGAGATACATGTGATATCAAATATTCGTACTCTTCGTGCTGTCTACGTTTATAGTGGATTGTTGCTCATCTCGCCCGTGGTGGTAGGCAAGGGTGAACCACGTTAAATTTCATCTCCTGTGCATGTCGTATTTTATGTTGATATCGCTTTTGTTGGTTTTTTTATGTCGAGTTTCTAACAAGTAGACTCTGCCATTTTACTATTTATAACATTGCTGAAAAAAGATAATAATAAAAATAGATTATTTGTTTACTTTGACTCAATTATCTATTTAAGATCGAGTCGATATTTGGTACAATCATATTTGAGCAAATTAACTTTGGGTAGCTTTTGGTCAAGTTGCTTTCAATTCAGGTTAAATTTGATACGAGTCTGTATCGATTTAACTAAAATTCGGGTCCATTTTGGTTTAATTCAGGTTTCAAATCAAAATTGATCAAACATGTTCGGGTCTATCTCGAATCTCAAATTATATAAATCGATTTGGGTAATCAAATTCGAATAAAGTTTATTTAATTTAATTATTATCTGTACTTAAAAAAATTATATTCATTACGTTTAATATTAGTCTTAAATTTTTTTTTCATACATTGACCAAAAACTAATTTTGTTTGTTTCATCTCAACTTTTCTTCATTCCGAACTAACACGGGGCTTAGAAGGCCAATGTTCGGTGTTTCTCTAGATGCAGGAATAAAAAAAATTAGAAATATCTTTCATCCGTTGGCTTTATTAGCGAATGGAAGCCCTTCCTCAATATTATTTAAAAGAGAAGGCTTGCTGGTCGTTATCGGATACCTATATTCGAAGAAATACGTGTAGAAGAGCCGTAGTCTTTGAACATATATTTAGAGCAGAGCACAAAGGGAAATCCACATTATATCGATCTTGAAAAGAAGCTGATTAAGCAAAATGGCGGAAACAAAGGTTATTCGCATGAACGAAGGGGATCATGAAATTAGCTATGCCAATAATTCTATTATTCAAGTCTGTGTTTCAATATTATTCATTAATTTATCCATTATATATCTTATTTTCTTCAAGAAATATCATGCTTAACATTTGTTTATGCTTTTAGAACGCAGTGATATTAAAGGTAATGCCAATCATTGAAGAATCCGTCTCAGTTATGTTCAAGGAAATGGGCCCAGCTTGCATGAAGGTGGCAGACTTGGGTTGCTCTTCAGGTCCTAACACTTTCATGACTATATCTAAAGTTATAGACACAATCCATGAGATATGTAAGCGACAACAGTTGAAATTACCTGAATTTGAAGTGATTCTAAATGATCTTCCGGAGAATGACTTCAACTTTGTGTTTAAGTCGATTCCTGGTTTCATTGAGAGGATGAAGAAAGAGAAAGGGGATATGGTGAAGGAAAGGTGTTATATAGGGGTAGTTGCAGGTTCTTTTTATCACAGGCTATTTCCGACCAGAAGCCTCCACTTCGTGCATTCTTCCTATGCGCTGCAGTGGCTCTCAATGGTTAGTCATTTTACTGAAAATGTGCAAGCAGTTATCTTAAATACAGCTGTTTTGATGTTATGATCACTGTTGTGGTTAGGTCCCAGTTGGAGTGGAGAACAACAAGGGGAACATATGCATGTCAACATCAAGCCCTCCCAATGTTGTCAGAGCCTATACCGAGCAATTTCGGAAAGACTTCTCAAGTTTTTTAAGCATGCGCTCTGAAGAAATAATACCAAAAGGTCGTATGGTGCTATCCTTTGCAGCTAGGACAAATCCAAATCCCACCGACGAAAATTATGGTTTGGAGCTTGTTGCCATATCCCTTCTTGACTTGATTGCACAGGTTTGTTTCCTTATAGATTAATCTATTTAAATTCCAAAGAATGTGGGCTAAAAATTATTTAGGCATAATGCTAAAAACATGATAATGTTTGACCAAATATTCACTTTGACTCTTTTTTTTAGAGCATTTTGACCCCTTAATGTTTTATTTTTGGATAAAAAGAAACATATTTTAGAGCATTAACTGTTTGTTACAGTCAGGAACGGATGCAAGATTTTAAGTTAGGCGGCGAACTTAAACTTATAAAATTTTAGGGAAACGAAATAGATTTTCAATACAAAATATATAAAAAAATCTAAAATATATAGTAATTATAGATTTTTAGGGGGCGACCAGTCCCGCCCAGGTCCATATGCATTTATTCTATTGTAATAAACTCTGTTAAGAATTGTAGGGAGTTGTAAAAGAGGCTGATGTGGATTCATTCAATCTTCCTCTATACTCACCATGCAAAGAAGAAGTGGCTGAGATTGTTGAGAGAGAAGGATCGTTTGAAATTGAGGAGCTACGAGTTTTCGAAGTAGACGTCAATTCTTTAAATAGAGATGAGCAGCAACGTAACAAAGACTTGGGTTTCAACATTAATGTGCAAATAGGGAAAATCTATGCAAATACTATGAGAGCTGTTTTGGAGCCCATGATCTGCAGTCATTTTGGAGATGCTATCATTGACGAGTTATTCATTAGGGTTGCTGAAAATGCAGACAATCCTCCAAAGAAAATGCATCAAAACAGGGTTAACATTGTGGTTTCAATGGCAAAGAAATAATACGGGAGGACCTGAACAACAACTGAATAACGGTTCACCTTATAAGGTTTGAATTGTTGGATAAATAAGATATTAGGATTGCCGGATAAATAAGAAATAATACTGGAGGACCTGATCTACAACTGAATAACAGTTGCAAATTATTGGAATTTGGCAATAAAAGCCACCAGTGTAACGGGCCACATATGACATTTGATTTAATTTCATTTAGAAAGTTTGATTTGGTTTTTACATTTTGTTTATCAACTCAAAGAAAAATAATCTCTAATCCTTCAAACGACTACTAGCTAGGATGTTCAAAAGTAACTGTTTTGAAGTATCCAATTTGTGGATCCGTAGATTTGATATAAAAATATCGGGTATTTTAGAGGTAAATATCTGATTTTACAGATTTGGTTCCCAGTCCGTTGCTTTTGGCGAGTTTCTGGGTCGGACCCGAGTCCCAAAATTGCCCTTAATTGGATTCCCACCGATTCAATTCCTTTTTTTATTTATTTATTTATTATTATTATTATTATTATTATTATTATTATTATTTAGACTTTTTATTTCTAATTTCAAAATTATTTTACCCTAACATTCTTAATATGTATTTTTTTAAATTTATTTCACCCTAACATTTAAATGATATCTTAAATTATTTGTTTTAATATCAATTTATTTTAAATTTAGTTGTAATTTTGTAATTTTTTTTATTTTTTGTATTTTATTTTTAGATTATAAAATATAGATTTATATATTTTATATTTATATTATGTATTATAAAATTTTAAGTTATAAATTTTAAGTTTTTATGTCGATTTTTTAAAATAAATATACATTAAAAAATAAAAATAAATATTAATTGGGTACTTGTGACCCAAAAATGCGGATATCAAGTTTTACAGGTATTGAATTACAATACCCACCTCCTACAGGACGGGACACGGGCCTAATTTTTGTGAACTGAAAGTCTTGGGTAGCTGTATTCAAACACCCCTACTCATAGCCGCTAGTCTCTCCACTTTGTTGATTGTCGTTGTCTAATAGTCACTGACTATCATGAGGCGCATTTACTTAACTGACACATTTTGTCCCTAATATTCCTTATTTAACACCCGTTGATCATTATTTATCGAAATAGCACCCAATTATTGAGGTGGCATAAAGGCTCATCCCCGGGGACGCGCTTTCACCGGATTCTGATGACTCGGCTGTCATGTGTGGAAGGCGCATCCCCGGGGACGCGCCTTCCATTAAATGTCATAAAGACTCTCCATTAAACGTCCGCTGCAAGAGATTGAAGCTAACTCTTTCAGAGTTAATCTGCAAGAGAGGTGGTGCGATTGTGGTTTCTTTCAAGCACTCAAATATCCATGTTCTCATGTTATTGCAGCTTGCTCACATTCGCATTTGGATTACAAAAATTATGTTAATCCGTATACCAACTTTCACAAGTATTCAAGTATATGAATTTGAGTTTCGCCCATTGAAAACGAAAGAGTGACCCATATGAGATTCAAACTTGGCTTACAATTGTACCAGATCCATTGTTTTTGAGGGACTCATGTCGTCCAAATCTACTAGAATACATTGTGATATGAATATTCGGGAGAAGTCAACAGAACAAAAACGATGTGGGCATTGTAGAAACATCGGGCACAATAGAAAAAAAAATGTCCAGCTCTGTTATCATCACATAACCGTTAACCCTTGTGTAATTAATATTCTATTTAAATGAATGTTTTTGTTTCTAATATTTAAATGTAATTGCATTTTCTATAATTTCTCAATGTATGTACACCTAGATAATTTTTTTTAATTTTTATTTAAAAATTATTTTATGATATTTATTTAATATAATAATTAATATTATTTATTATAAAAAATTAATTAGTAATTTTAAAATATTATAATAATTCCACCTTCTAAGCAGAGAAAAAATGTTAAATTAAACAAATTAAAAGTAAGACTAAATTGATAAAATATGTAACTATTGAAGATTAAATGTGTAATTATACTAATTTTATTAACTTATGCATCAATATTTTCTTTAAATATTGATAACAAATGACTAGATTAATAACATTTAAATAATTAATTGATAAAATTAATAGATCGATAATAAAAAAATAATAATATATAACAATACATGTAATATTATAATTTCATACGTTTATAACTACAATAAGATCAAAGCTAGTTTTCATCTATTATTTCATCCGATTAATGTCGCGTGGAATGGGTGCATGCCAAAGTCCCTGAAACATATAATATTAAAACCTAATTTCGCTCCACCTTGAACACACATTTAAAAAATACATTCGATAATTCTTAAATTATAATCGAAATATTTTACATAATATATTAATTATTTATAATAATAATAATAATAAAATCTTTATTATTAAAAGAAATACCAGCGTGACATCTGACTCAGCAGAACCCATATAAAGCGCATCCCCGGGGATGCGCCTTACCCCACGTGGCAGTCGAGTCATCAGAATCCCGTGAAAGCGCGTCCCCGGAAATGAACCTTTGTGCCACCTCAGTCGAAAGGATGCTACTTCGGAAAATAATGGTCAACGGGTTTTAAAAAGGAATATTAGGGACAAAATGTGTCAGTTAAGTAAATGCGCCCTATCATGAACCAGTTTTAACATGTATCATTCGTTGAATTATTGTAACACTCCAAATTTCAACATCTAAAGTTGACGTGTCAAAGGGACATTTTCCAAAAAATTTATATTTTAATTAATATTAAATGATTTAATGTAACTAGAAGTATTTGATGAATTTTCTATTAAATCTAACTTTTCGATTAATTTTACAAATTATTTTATATTCGGGAGATAATTTATATTTATACAATTGATCTTATAGATTAAAAATATTTTATAATCAAATTGGATCAAATTAGTTAGATGATTCTAGAATTATTATTATTATTATTATTATTATTATTATTATTATTAGGTATGTCCTTAAATTAGTTATTTTGAGAGTGTTGTGATGGGGAGAGAAGGGAGACTGGACACGAAGGAATTGGGATTGGGAAACTCAATGAAAGGGTTAGGGCTTGGGAACGATGAATTGGGGAAAATCACAAATCATACTAAAGAGGGGAGGAATTTTGAAAAACGTGTTGATGACAAGGTCATACACGTGAGGATCATGGGAGTAATAAAATATACGAGAGAAAAGAGCTCAATATTTGTTTGGTGGATGAGGAAACATGCCTGAAGTGTCATGTAGCCCAACAAGGATAGAAACTTTTTCACAACACCTGCAAAGAGCCATTGGAATTAGTTATAGCTGGGAGCAGACAATACAGATTTGACCGCCATACAACAAGAAGTCGATGACTTATCGCATAAACTACAATAATTTTCACCGTGAAGATCTAGAAAAATATTATTGATTAAATCAAAATAAATATAATATAAAATAATCTAATATGAATATAATTCACATATATAATCTTACCATTTAAATTTTTAATAACAATTAAAACTAATATAACTAAATGTTCTAAAAAATATTTCAAATTTATGTAAAAAAAATAATCTAAATTATAATACTTTTATCAATTAAGATGAATTCATTTTCAAATAACTAAACTCAACTCTCATTTTTCAAAGAATCAAACTAATCTATGATCGAGAAAAAAATATTAAATAACTTTAACATAATAAAATATGATATCAGGAGTATCTTATAAATTTTTATTATAATCTTATAGATAGTACTGAAAATTTTTGCTAAACAAACCGCTAATAACATCACAGGTTCATAAGTAATTAAAGAATAAAATAAAACATAAAACATAAAAAGTAAAAAGTAAAAATAATAATAAAAAACTTGTAAAAGAAGATAAAAAAACACATAATATCAATTAAGATATTCAATTACCTTTATGCTTCAAAAATAATTCTTAATATATCAGTTAAGATATAATGAAATAAATAAATAAGAAAGCGATAACATCATGTGTGTGTATATATATATATAATTCAGAAGAATATATCTCTTAATTTAAAATTTTAAAGAGACAAAATTATAGTTAAACTTGAAATTATATAGGACTCTAATTAATCTAAGGGCAAATTACAAATTGTCAACTGAACTTTCATATGATTCTTATTTTACTTATTGTACTTTCAAAATTTTCAAATTGCTCACTTAACTTTATAGATTTAGTTTTTTTGTCCCTATGCCTTTTGACCTCTCACACCATTATAACGTGACATAGAGAAATAATTTTTTATTCGTTAAAAGCCAATGACAAATCAAAAAAATAAATGGTAAATTACGAATTTCATAACTGAACTTTCATAGAATTCCTATTTTACTCACTCAACTTTATAGATTGAATTTTTTTTTCACTCTGCTGTTAAGCTTCCCATTTCCAACGATCGTCCACCGCTACCCTCATTACTATTGGACAGTGACCATCACCGCCAGTAATAGAGTGAGTGCCAGGCCTTGCGACCAAAACCTGGTGGTCGATCATCAAGGTTCCTGTCGCTCGTTGTATAGAAACTATTTAGGGTTTTCGGGAAACCAAAGCGACCTTTTTACTTTATTATTCCTGTTATCGTTTATTAACATACTGCTATTCTCCATTATCTTATTTATTGAATTACTGCTATTCTGTATTATCTTGTTGGCAGATCATGCATAATAAAAATAAATAGTTTGGCACTGCCCTATTGAAGGAAGATTTTCTTATGTAAAAACCACATCTTTTGTTCTTGTCAAATTCTTGGTCTCTGTATGGTGACTTAATAGCTTGATCTATTTGTAAATTAGTTGGGTTTATTTTTTGGCTTTCTAAGGCTTCCCGTTTTATCTATAAACTTTTGGACGAGTATAGAAACTGTTATAGATTTACAGATTAGCATTATTGATTTATTTCACTTGAAGTACATTTGAGAAGTTAAAATTTGAAATTTTTTGTAAGCAAACCTTGCAAATGCACTGGCAAAATGTCTGCATTCTCCTCTCATTGGACGTGCATTACAGTTTGGTTTTCTTTTTGTACAGAAAACCTGCATAAATCAGAGAGAATTTTTTCCTTATCAGTCTTAATTTGTTGCTGGTCAGCAGTGAAGTAAGTTTCTTCACTTTAAACATACATAGAGCAAACCTTTCCAAAACGTGATCATCTGATAATGTAGCTCGTACCTGTTTAGTAAATATTCAATGAATTAGCAAACATGAAGTTCCATAAGAAATTTGTTTTGCCTTAT